ATCCAGGAGATGCAGCTCGAAATGCCATAAAGAGAAGCAGCTTCCCTTCCCAACGGGAAACGGTCCAGTCCAAACTAGACTAGGGCAGAAAGGGGAGTTGTTGGCGCCCGTTAGGTAGCAGGCGCAGGAAGCGTCGCTTTACCGTCGTGGTTCTCAGCGCATGGTCTGCAGACCACTAGTGGCCCACCACCATCTTGCAGGTAGCTGCAGGCTCAGGGCTCACCCCCTGGTGCTCCCGCCCTGCCCCCGTGAGGCTGGAGCTCCAGCGCCGGCATCCCGCTGCGGGGAGGGGTGGGGGGAAGTTGAGCCTCAGAGAGGAGGCTGCTCACACGCTGCCCTGTCCCCTCCTCCCATTGGCCAGAATCATGGCCAATGGAGGCAATGGGGGGGGGGGGTGCTTGGCAGCGACAAAAGGCACGAAGCCAAGTAAGCACCCCCATTCCTCTCACGCACTCCCTCCCACCGAGACCCTGAATCCAAGACCACTCCTGCACCCACCCTCTTCCCAGATCCCCCACCCCTAGCTCGCTCCTGCACCCTACCTCCCACCCAGACCTCTCCACCCCCAGCCCGCTCCTGCACCCATTCTGTCATCATGAATGGCAGGTGATCTGGGGAAAGGCCTGTTTTGCGCAGGGTGGCCAAAAAGTTTGAGAATCACAAAGCTAGTCAGATAGCCACCTCCACCCCCCCTCATTCCACCAACGCGCCTTGAAATCCTAGGCTAGCTAAAGACCTTGTCCACATGGACAACTGCATCAGTTTACGTGAATCCAATTTAAAAGCAATTCAGAGTAGGTTGAAGATTAAAATAATTAAATCCTTCTTCATCCAAAATAAGAGGATCCACTTCAAGGTTTGCATCGGTTTAAGCAAAACAGTGCACGTTTGTAGACAGACGAGCCCTGCACTTGAATGTTTTGAACCGGGCATCTGCCCAGGAAAGCCCCCCTCCTGAGGAGACAACGCTTTTGTTTGTACAGGGCCACCAAAAAAAACGAGCAGACAGAAACAATCGATTGCTCAGCGCTGTGCGGAGAGATCCCGCTCACAGACCAGGAGACAGTGAGAGAAGCCATGTTCATTTTCAACATTTCAAAGCAACACAAGCGTCTTTTTAAAAAATAAGAAAAAAAAACACTACGTTTCCTGCGGTAGAAGAGACCAAACGTGTTAGAACTTCTGGAAGAAAAAAAGGAACATCTCCCACCCGTGATAAGAGAGAAAACAGCCCTCGACCCTGTCCCTTCAAAGTTACTTGTCAAGGACGAGATTTGCATTTGCTAGCACGTATTTAGGCATGAGATCATCCACCGTCTCGGTGCCAGATTCACTGGCAATCCCAGTGAGAATGAGGTGAGCCCTAAACACGTACAGGCCGCCGATGAGAAGTGGACCACAGAAGCCTTGCTGAGCTCGGGGACCCACCTTGGCAACGGTCGCCGAGCCAAAGTCTGCATGTACTGCCCCATCCAGATTGGTGCAGACACAAGGGTCTGGACAAACTGCTCCAAAATTGGGGATTGGGGCAAGGACAGGCCTCGTACCTTTTCCCATCCAGATTGGTGCAGACACAAGGGTGCGGACAAACTGCTCCAAAACTGGGGATTGGGGCAAGGGCAGGCCTCGTACCTTTTAGTGAGGCTCATGAGACACCCAGGAGGTCGTGAAATAAACACCACACCCAGCCCCGCATCTCATTGCTGTTCCCAACACATGCATTCCCCCAAGCCAGTCATCTCTGTACCAAACAGCCCACTGCCGGGATCACGCCTTCCCTGGCTCACTTGGCTCTCAGCCACCCCTGGAGTGTCTCTCTGACAGACCAAATATATAATTCAGCATTCTGTAAACAGCTCAACAAGAAGCAGAATCTTTTATAGACTTCTAAATAAATCATAGGAGTTGGACTCCCCAGTTAACTGTAGCATGTGCTACCTGCTACCCAATAGGAAACAAACCTGATTTATGGGGAAAGATCAGTTTGTCCATCAGGGCAGAAGCTTAAGCTAAAGCAATCACATCCTGCCAACATTTTTGCTTAACTTTTAAGTGTGCGAGACGTCTCCAAAATTCACAAACCACAGGGCCTAAGGTTAGTAGACTCAAGTGCCTCTCATCTGAAGAAGTGGGTTTTGCCCACAATGCTCACGATACCATCTGTATTTCTGTTCGTTTCTAAGGTGCCACAGGAATACTCGTTTTTTAAAAGTTAGTTTTTAAGTTGTAGACAAATATGGCCACCCCTCAGTCTCCGAAAGCCACTACTCGTTTTTTAAAAGTTAGTTTTTAAGTTACAGGCAAATATGGCCACCCCTCAGTCTCTGAAAGCCCTGGTTAGGTTTCTGAGAAAGAGTGGTCTGGTTTTCAACTTTTCCAAGGACTCTCAACTTCTGAAATCAACGGAGCAGAACTCTCAGAACCTCTGCAATCCACTTTCTGTTATTTAGGAGGCTTTATGCATCCAAGTTGGAACATTTGTCTCTGATAGCTCTGCGCACATCTAATTTTAAAGAGGACAAGTGCATTCTCAGCAAACCAGCACTAACCATAGGGCAATACCACGGGCTTCCTGTCCCCAAAGCTGCATGAGAACAGTCTAGATACGAAGCCGTGTTGTGGGACAGGAAGCTACTGGTTGCCTTATATTCCACTTCAAACGCTGCAGCTCTTTCAGAAGTTTCAGTCAACCTGCCTCTCACCAATGGCTTAATGAGAGAGTTCCCAGCACAATTTTGAATCGCTTAGTCATAAGAAAGGTTTTATTATTGCATAAAACTCATGAAATACACTTGGTTTTGTCATGTCCCTTTTGCATGTGTAGCACAAGAGAATAGAGGTACAAGGCCCTATCTTGGGTGCTTTTTTAATGGGTTTATTCTTATTCTGCGGACTCTTGGAAGTCTGGTTTTCATTATTAGCAGCCTCAGACATGAATGCCTGGCAAATTAATTTAGTAACTGGCTTCTATTCACCAAAGCGAAGCAGGATTCGCTGTCCTTGAAATAACCGATTCTCTTCCCCACTCCCCTTCCTTTTCCCTTCCATTGTCTTTTAGCACATGGCCAATTGGCTGTGTTAGTTAAATTTCATGAAACTATCTACAATTGGGGGGGGGGGAACAAAATGCAAACTAGCCTTAGAACAAAAAGCCTCTTGAAATAATTGATCCAAGCTCAGCATGAGTAGATCCAAGAAAGGATTCTTCTTCTAATTAACCATGTTCCATACAAAGAGCATTTACCATCTGCTAGCTATTAAAACCACATCTCTGGGGAGAAAAAACAAAGGCGGGGGGGGGTGGGAGGGAGAGGAAGCAGACTAGGAGAACAGCAAAAAAGGAATAAAAAAGTTTCTAAAACTAAACGGAAATGATTTTTTAATCATTATTTAGAATCGTATTAAAGGTACTTTGATGTTTAAAGACAACTGAAATCCTTTTTTTGGAGGGGGAGGGGGTTTAAAGGAAAATAAAGAACAGCCATATAAGCCAGTCTATTTAGGTGAATTGGATCCCAGTTTGATTATCCACAACAGAAGCTAAGCTTTGTTTTTACTGGAAGCTGTGTGAATGAATTGACTCACCCTAATAATCGTTTAACAATTAACTATATTCAAACACTATCAACGCCCATCGCAAATGGATGAAAGGGAAAATAATCACAGAGCAAATCTGGATAATTCAATTCAACAGTGGGAGAGGAAAATCTATCCTTCTAAAGGTAATAAAACTGGGGGGAAAGGCATCCCTTTGGAATAGTGCTTGGCCTGGCTTTGACTTCATCCAGGATCACTGGCCCCCCAGATCTTTTTAAACACACACAAAGAGGAAAGTGGAAACAAAGCCGGAGCCTGCATCTCACATGGCTCAGCAGAGCTCTCCCACTCCAGATCTCTGAGGAAAGGAGGAGACTTAAAAAAAAATCTTGTAACAAATAGGTTTGGATTGTGTGTGCAGAGCGAGCCTGCCTTTATACATAGGAACAGCTTCCCACCCCCCATCATGTCACACAATGAACTTGGACACAGCCTGTGTGCAAGTGGACACACACATACACACAACTGAGTGACACCACTGAAATGGGTGCAACATTGAGGCCCCAACACACACATAGACACACAATCCCCCCTACTCACCACACAGACACAACCCCACTACTCACCACACACAGACACACACACACAACCCACCCACACACAACCCCCCTACTCACCACACACACACAGACCCTGTGTGCAAGTGGACACACACATACACACAACTGAGTGACACCACTGAAATGGGTGCAACATTGAGGCCCCAACACACACATAGACACACAATCCCCCCTACTCACCACACAGACACAACCCCACTACTCACCACACACAGACACACACACACAACCCACCCACACACAACCCCCCTACTCACCACACACACACAGACACACAATCCCCCCTACTCACCACACAGACACAACCCCACTACTCACCACACACAGACACACACACACAATCCCCACACACACAACCCCCCTACTCACCACACACACACACACCCACCACACCCCCCCCCCAGCCCCCCACCCCC